CGATATCTATTGCTTTAAGAGTAGTAGCAGCCATTTTAACGTATTTTGAATTTGATTTCTTTAGACCATCAGCAAATAGATGATAACTATTTCTTAAAGAAGATACAACTAAGGTTCGAATATTATCAAATTGTTGAGGTAATAAAATATCTTTTCCTAATGTTTTTTTTAATATGTCTTTTCAATTCTTCAAAAGATTTTTCGAACTCTTCTTCATTTTTACTTTGAAGATAAAGAGTTTCTACTTTATTATTTATTAAACCGATTATTCCTTTTAATAAATTTTCTTCTATTTTACTAACAATCTTTTGTATAAACATTTTCTTGAATCTGTTTCATAATTTTATCCGTCAAAAACTTTCTAATTCCAGCAGTCAACATAGAGAGACCGAAGCTAATTGCTTTTTGTATTGCCCATTCTTTCCAACTAAAAGTACCTGATATTAAAGCATTGCCTATCTGAGTCAAACCAAAGGCTACTAAAACAGCTTCGGCAATGTCTTGAACAAGTCCTATCATTGCAACGGCAAAAGCATTCCAATCCCACCAAGATTTATCTTCTTCAATAATCAAAAATTTATTAAGATTAAAACCTTCAAAAAAATCTTTATTCACTTGGAACATTTTCTTGATCTTGAAGATCTATAAAATCTTTTAAATTAGCTTTTAAACCTTTTTTAAATAAACGAATATCTCCTTGTAAAGACAAAATTTTCGACAAAATTAATTCTTTATCATTTTCAAATTTGAAAGTTTTTTAAAATTTTATTTAAAATTCTTTCAATATTTCTTTTAATATCTCCATATTTATATTTGGCAAGTCCACCAGACTTTAAAATATTTTTTTCTTTTAGATAAATTCGAATATTATTTCCTTCTTCTTCTTTAATAGTAAATGGTAAATCTGTGTTGATAAAAATATTGATTTTGTTGACTAATATTATCTTTTAATTCTATTAAAAATGTTTTAAGATCTTTTGTTTCACGACCATTATCATTAAATTTAATTTTCGCATATTTTCCTTTCTATTGATTGTTCAAATAAAGAAATATTAACTTGTTGTGGATCTATTTTATCTTCTAAATCTTTCCAAACATTTTCATACATCCGTGGTAATTCTTTTTCTATTCTATTTATATTTAAAATTTGCCATAATTCTTCACTATAACAAACAATATCTTCGAAATCTTTTTTTTTCAAAAGAAGATTTACTATTTAATAAACTAACTAATGGATCGGCAATCGAAGGATCAAGATCATTTCGAATTATCTTTTCTATTTTATCTCGTTCTTGTGAATTATTTCGAAATATTTTTCTTATTGTATCTCCTTGAATAATTTTATGTTGAACTAAAAGTGAATATAATTCTTTTCCTTTATCTTGATCTTCACGAGTTAAATTTTGTTCATCTTTTGGATGTAAAATAAAATGAAATGGTTCTACTGTATCTCCAACAGCTTCTAATTTTCCTGTTATTTGATCTTGATAAAAATTTCCTTTTGAAGAAATTTTTTTGAAGGGTGTGGGTGTGTGAATGTGGGTAGGGGTCTTCTCTTTATCTACACCCGCACCCAAATTTGAACTTAGCTCTACACTATTAGAGAGCCTAAAGAGAAATCTCTGATCAAAATGCACTTTTTTCTGGAAACGAACTTTCTTCAAAATAAAAGGCAAAGCAACTAGACTATTTAATTTAAATTGATTACAATAGCTGATTTTCCACATTAATCGTTTGAATAAGAAAACAATTATTAATGCCTTCATTCAATTTACTGATTTAATCAAATAAATAACAGACACAACAGATATACAAAGAGGTTAATACAAAAAAAAATCATATTGGATTTCTTCATATGAAAATACTGGCAAAGAGTTCGTCTGTCTTGATATTAAAATTCAAAAATTATTTTCCTCTTATGCAACCATGATTATATGATGCCTGATCTGTTGTACCTAATCATACTAATTGAATCTTGCGATCAACAGTTCATATGAGTAAGATTTCTGGACTAATGACTATTTGAATTGAACTGAGGTCATTTGAAAAAAGAAACATAAATTAAATTTGAATCAATATTAGAACATAAAGAAAATTGTTTATGAATCTTATCAAAAGACTCATTGTTTAATAAGTTACGATCGGGAGAAGTTACTTGATATTTTAAACAAAAAACTTTACACAAATATTCTTTAAGCATCAACATCAATCTGAATTCTATCATATATATCGAATATAAATATGTCAATAAGTCTTTTATTATAAGCCTTTTTATTGATAGAAACTTCTCATAAAAGTACTGACGAGGAGGATATCATTTCATAAGGAGACGTTTGCAATTTTCTTTAAATATCATTTAGATCAAATTTTTCTTCTACTTTTCAAAGATTCACTTATACTTCTTAACATATGGTTCTTACGAAAATTCTTTTACACGCATAGAACGTTAACACATCTTTATCAAAATTTTTTCATTGAAAGTCTAATGAGAAAAGAAATATATGGTTGATTAATTAATTGATTTATTATTATTATTGAGATTTCTTTTACAAAATCAAATATTTGATCTATACATAATTTGATTTCTAAAAAAGGCAGAGACACTTTTTAGTCAACAAAATTAACGTACTTCGAGTATAACAAAAATTTTTCTTATTATTGTCAACATATAACAAACTAATTGAAATTATAAGATTTAAATAAATAAATATAAAGCATAAACAAAAGATACCTCATATTCAGATCAATTTTATTAACTAATAATCTTAGTAATTTTCTTTTATACATAATTTTATTATTTCTTTAGTTCAATTATGCATTGTAACAAGCTCTCTTCAAATGAAATGTCTTGCTTATACATTTTCTCACCTATTATTTACTAACGTTTGTTCACTTTTTTTGGAAAGAAAAACAAAATAAATATCGCAATAAAAGTTTCCCTTTTACAAACACTCGATAACTACATTAGTTCATTGCATAACGCAATCGGCAAAAAAAATCAAAAACAAAAAAATCAATTTGTTCTTTGTCATATCAATTACGAAAATCAAGATAATTCTAATAAAAAATATTCTAGTCTAGCTATGTAGGCCTTTAGCTGTGTATATACCTATTTAATTAATAATTTTTCTAATTGTCTTTATAAAATTATGGACAACAGATATATCTCCAAAAAGGCATCTATTATTTTCAAAAACATCAAAACTTAACGAGAAAAATACACAAATAAGTTGTTGAGTATATTTTCTTTTTTTTGTGAAACTTCATAACATCTCCATCCAATCGAAATAAACAATATACCGACACTAATTTGACGAAAGATTTGAATAAACTAAATACTATGAAAACAAAAGAAAGTTCTTTTATCTGTTGAATAATTTCTGTAAGAGTGAAAAAAATCATATGAAATACACGAATACACCTACAATGGTCTATTACTATCATGAAATCATCAGATTGACAAGTTTATTTTTTACTCAGATTTGTTTTTATCGTCTATGAAGTTGCAATCTATAAAAACACAGAATATACTTCATTTAATTTTAAGTATATGATATAATTTCATAGACAGTGATTTTTTTCAGTAATTAGAAACAATTATCTATTTCATTGATCAATAGTTGTGAATATTTAAACAAACCGAATAGATTTGATCAATAAAAGCATTTAGTTTTTGGAATTTTCAATGAACAAAACAATTATGTTCTTTCTTATATTTTCTCAATTTTCATGATTCAGATGATATGATCAATTAATCGATTTCACTTGCGCCATGTGACAAACGATGCATTGTTCAAATCGAAAGAAAAAGTTGTCACAAAATGAAGCGAGAACAGGACATTCCTCTTGTCTTTACCCATTACATTAGATTACGTTCAAAAGAAAGTGAAATGTGTAAAAATGATAGTGCTTATAAAATCTAAACTCAATTCATTCTTTCTACTAACATTTTATCTGATGTAGTTTAATATAAAAAAGCTATTGCCAAAAGCTAGAAATAGTATCGTTTCTGTATCACTGTTTTCTATTCATAATGTGGAAAATGAATAATTTTTTTTTCTATAGATATATCTGGAAAACAAAAAAAAAACAATAATATATACTGTATAATCAGCTGTATATTTTGAGAGGAATTCATGACTTCTGGTGCATGTGCCTCAACATTCGTTTTGTTTTTTATTTATCCACAATCACGAAATGATTAAATCTGATATTGAAAATAATTTTGAGAGTTCTATATTCATCACTATTTCTCTGAATTTGAAAATGCAATTGAATACATATATAAAAATCAGTAATACAGGTCATTGATAGTTTTTTGTGATATTTACAGAACGTGCTTATCGAAAAGATGTCTTTTATACAGTTATCCTTTATAATAAGTGAATGATAGTTACTCCTTTATTACATTTATTGTCTACTCATAATTGATACATATGACCAAGAAAATTTAATTTTTTCTTATGCCAAATTTTAAATTATTCTTTGTAATTGAACGAGAAGTCTTCATTAAAATCAACTCGAGTTGATGAATTAATTTGTCTTGAGTCCTTATATAAAGATGAACCGTATGAAAAACTATTTTTCGATTCAGTGATCAATTTTTGACTCGAAAACTGATCATTATTAAGTTTCATAGCAATTTCACACAGTACGTGAAACTAAGAAATGTTTAAATCTTTTATAAAACAGAAAAGAAAGGCAATA